CTCAACTACCTAGTGCAAAGGACGACCGAGAATGAGCGAATTGGATCTCAAGGGCCTCAACCTCTTTAGTCTTTAATTCTCTGGCCTTACACCAGACTGGAATGGGGCCCTAGAGTTGTAGGACATTTGGACGCGCTTCGGCCATGTCGCATTCCGGCTCAGCGATGGCTGCTCTCCGGCCAGGAGGCTCCGTGCGATCTTCAGGGGTCGGATGAGTCTCACAACAGCAGGAGCTGGCACAGCATTCTCTTACCAGAGCCTTCCTGGGCCCTTATTGTTTTCTCTTCTTCTTCTTCTCCTCCTTCTTCTTCTTCTGCACTCCTCAGGAGCCCTCTATCTCTCTGTCCTTCGTTCGTTCATACTTTGCTATTCCCACACCGCCCTATTGGGCTTGTACAGCACATGGCAATCAATCTCAAGAAGTGCGTGCGGTCCGAAGGCGAGGTGCATACGCAGCCTCCCATCGTCATTTTTGATAACCAGCGAGCCATCTCTCGGCGAGCTGGCCAAATAACCCAGTAAAAACTGTGTATTCAAAGGTCAATTCGATCATGACCGGATCTGTGCTGTGAGAGGCTATTCATCCGATCATAGTGCGGCGAGACAGCATGTTACTCATTTTAACAAAAGCAAAAAAGAGATCATTGAGACTAATTGAGACCTCAGACGGACAAGGCAGCCATAAATGATGGCTTGCGGACCAGCCCTGCCCAGCTGCAAGCCCGTCAGTCTTAAAAGCTGCCGGGCCCTGCGGTTTCAACAGCTGTGCGCAAAGTGCCACGCGTGACACCCTGCACCCTAAACCCGGCAGACACGCCTGGGCAGGGATGGGATAGCAGCTCGCCTTGGATCGGCGGATCTCGCCCTGCCTGCAAGAGATGTGAAAAGCTGGAAACAGTGGGAAGGAGAACTTCATGTTTACTCTGGGACATTTGAAACTAGAAAATGACATCGCATGCAGCAGCTGCCTAAACACAACGCAGGAAAAGCCACCCACATCCTGTCAGGCTGGACGTTCAGATCTCGAACTCGATGGCTTTGCGGTCTTGGAGGCTGCGTGCTGTGAGGTTTTGGTGGAAAGAGGTCGAATCCGAAGCACGAAACGAGTAAACTCCGTAAACCGCCAAATTCTGGCCTTCCAAAGATGATGAAGGCGGTGCCTGAGCTGCTGTTTAAGCTAGGTATTTCCAAACTGCAACAATCCCGGAGCATCATGAAAATCAGGCTCAAGCATTCAAGATGTTGAGTTTGATTTTGCTATCTGCAGATTAGGCGCAGAGTGCTGCCAGCACCGCGAGCCAGGTCATGATGTTGTCAATCGCAAGGCACCACCTGGACACCCAGCCGTGGGGCTCCAAGAAGATTACAAAGCTCTTATCAAATCGCAGCCCACTGCGCTATGCTACACGACACAGCAGTATGCCTCACTAGAAGCCGATGGATCCCAAAACACAGACTCCAGACGTTCCTCAAGCCAGGTAGGTCAAATCCGTCAACCAGAAGTCCGAGATCAAACGCGAAGCACTCAATGGCTTTCCTGGAGCCCTTTTTGGTGCAAGGCACGGAGGGTTGGACCAATGGGCCGGATCCCCGCGGACGGTATGTGCCTGTCTCTCAAGAAGGCCCGTTTGAGTCGTTGCAAAAGTCGCAAAGCGGGCGAAGCGGGCTTTGAGGTTCAGGACCTCAGAACGTGAAAACTAACAGGGAAAAGTGTGCTTCGGAAGGGGACTTGAGGGTGTAAAATTGCTTGAAGGTTTCTTGAAAGTTCTTCTGAAGAGGTTGTGTGGCAATCTGTTGCAAGGGCCAGGTGACCAGGGCACAAGCTGCTGCTAAGTGGCAGCCACAACAAAGGTGACGCTCCTGAAGTCGAGAGGAGCCACTATCGGCGCGAATAGCCGGTACGGGCTGTAATCCAGTAGCAAGGGGTTTGGGCGGGTGTAGGAGGGAGCCAGGGCGAGAAAATGCGAACAAAACAACTGCGAACAAGTCGTAGTGATGCTCCAAAGGTTGGCCCCCAATGCTTGTGCCCGAGGTACATTCCGGCCACGATGGCAGTGCCGAGAAGGCCCTGGCAGCGGGAAGGCAATGGGCGTGCTACTTGATGAACAGAACGCTACTGCCGCATCCGACGGCGCTTCTTGCACTCTCGGCCTGAAGGCCCTTCCCTCGTGATCTCTACACCCAACTCACTGTGCTTTCATCGAAAGTCTTTACCATTCTGATGTGATCGCTGAAGCACCTTCGCTGGAAGCATCCCGATGCTGCATCCCGCGAACCCCAGGCCTGCATCCAGAATTTCGGATCGCGGGCTGGCCTGCTGAGGCAACGCGTACTCTGAATTCCGCACAGAAAGCCTTTCTTTTTCCAAGTGCAATCCAAGAGCAGGGGCGGTAGCTGACTGAGAGGTAGCCGTGCCTCCCAGGCAGCAAGGTCCTGCGGCACATAGAATGCAGATTCAGATCCTGGAGGATGTTGGGTTCGGGCTAAGGCTGCACAGGCTGGAGCACTTAAGGAGCAAGATGTTTGCTTCACGGCTTCTGTTGGATCCTTTCCAGTCCCGCACGCAACGGGTTGGAAGCTCAGAGAGCCCCTTGGGAGACTCTTCAAGACCCTAAGGCCCTCTAAGCAGGAACTGCTTGCGGTAAGGCTAGACGCAGCAAAGCAGGGCAAAGGAATCTGTTGGTGTGAAACATGTCACCACCGCATTGCAGCCATGAGGACCAGGTCCGAATGAGCCACACGGGTAAAGAAGCCTGAAGGCCATGAAGGCCATGAAGCCATGAAGGCCATGAAAGCTATGAAGGCAATGAAGGCAACTCCCGTTTTCTAAACACTAGCTGCTTTTTTGCAGCACTTACACTTCTGCTGCTTTGGCAGCTCCGAGACCCTCGACATAGACCTCTACACGAGCTATGCCGCACCTGACCTACCAGGCCATGAAAGCTATGAAGGCAATGAAGGCGATCAAGTGGCATAAACGGCAAAGGTCCTATGTATAGCACAGCTTACTTTCGATGTTGCATTCTTGAAAATTGGGAGTGCTGCGATCTCATGCCATGGCTTCGATTCCTTCTGCATCACATAACCGCCGGTCTCCAACCGGACAGAATCCCAAGACCCGGGAATCCTATCATTCCCATCCATGTTCGCTCATGTCACATGACTCATCACGTGTCCTCTGTCCCCGGCAGCGTTTCACAGAAACCGAATTCATCCAGGTCGGACTCGCCCTGCAGGGCCACGAACTTCCCCAGACGCAAGAATGCCCCACGAGACCTCCCGCACTCTGCCTGCTCTGCTTTCGTTTTGCTTGCTCGTTCGCCGACGCATCAGGAAACATCTGAGAAAGGGCTCTTTGCGTCGTCCTTTTTCTGCACTTAGGATTGTACAGTCATTCGCGGTCCTCCAGGTCGCTGTCCTCCGAGTTCCTGGCGGCAATCTATTCTACATCTGTGTGCCGGCGTATGCAGAACCCTGGAACCCCTCCTGAAAGGCGACGCTTTCGTTCTGAACGCAATATGAGCCGTCACGCGCCGTCAGAAGAACCCCAACCCCACCAAATCCCCATCCCGAAGATTTCCTAAGAACATTCCCGGGAGAAAGCGTGCGCCACCTGCTGCCAAGCAGGGGATCTTCGCTTTCATCCATGTAGCCGAAAGAGCGCAGGAGCGCACATGAAGGCTTCAATGATGGGATCTGGCGCCAACCTTCCTACTGTAACGACTAAAAAACGGACAACAAAGAAGATGGCTTAAGTTGGGTATGCTGTAGGAGCTCACGCTCGCGAAGGGATTCTCGATGGGCTTGGCTCTGGCTCCTTGCTGACTCCTTGCAGCAGTCCGCGGATTCTCCATGGGCTTTTTTCGAGCACAAGCTTCGGCAGTTGACAGGCTTTTGGCATGCCTTAAGGTCACTCTGCTGCGCACCCTGGCCCGAGCTTGTAGCCTTTTGAACGCAGTGCAGTGTCCCGTCCTGTACAGCGAGAGGGAACAAAAAGCGCTGCGTGCGCAGCGGATCAGTCACCTCCGAGACTGAGCTCTCCAAGCTCTCTAAATTCATCAGTCTGAGAGCGCAATCTCCAGGTTCTCTTTGTATACCGCCGCGGCTCGAATCTACCATCTGACCTTGTCGCCAATTAGGAGGGCTCGTCGTGCTAACTTAGCCATGGCATCACAGCCATAACTTCCCTCAGGGATGGTTTGCTTGTCGAACGCAGGTCTTCCAACAACTTCCTGGTTGTGTAGGAGACCACGTCTTGCGGGCAGTTGTGAGGAACTGCAAGAAATCACAATTCACAGGACCCCTCGGTGCGAGAACAACGAAGTCTGAGTTGCGTACGACCATCCTACTGGTAGCAGTCCTTCAACAAAGATGGACCTTTAAGGTCTTCGCCTACCAATGAACCGCCTTCCCTTCAAGCCTGAAGATGGCGTTTGAGACTGTGACTTGGGATTTGGGGCATCACATTAAGGTAGGCCCACATGCGATGCCAGGAATTGGGCGGCCAGATGTTACGAATCCAGAATCTACAAGCGGGAAGGATCAATATCTTCACATGGGTCCTTCCCGCATGATAATTCGTGGTGCGGTGGGGCTTCGGAAACACTGTCAATTAGTTGGTGCTGGTGCTCACCGAAACTGAAAGCCTCTACAAACCTGGGATACCAAAGAATTGAACCGAATTTGGTTAAGCGGTTTTCGAAGCTCCACGTACGACGTACTACGGACAGGCATGTCAAACGTTCTGCTTCAAACGCAAAGTATGACAAAGATTGACAAAGTTTTGGGATTGCTCCCAGACCCCCACGACGAAGCCATTGCGGTGATGCACGCTTTGGGATGCTTGCGTGAGAAGTCTTGGCTCCACATGCATGGGGGTTGGGCTGCCTGATTGCTTGGGCTGCTGCCAAACTGCAAGCTGCTGCAAGCCACTGCAAGCTTCATTCCGGTTGCACCGGTCATGGAGCCTCGCACTTCGAGGAATCTGCCCATCCTCTGCGTCACCAGTGCACGAGAGCCTCGGCAAAATGCCACGCTAAAACTGCCTGCAAAAAACAGAGAACTGTCATTTGTAAACCCCGCAACGTGGGGCTTGCAGCGTTGGATGTCTGCAGCCTGCGGTCACCAGAACTTGTGGGAGTTCTAGTTATGGAAAGTCTGCAACTAAAGTCCTGATAGAGGGTAGAGCGCACCAGTGCTGATTTGCAAAGTTGAAAAGGAAACCCAGGCGCAATTCACTTGACTCTGAGAACAGTGTGGAAGCACCAGGCACCCTTTGCCCCTTCATCCAAGTGGCCGCGTGCAACATTGCAGAACTGAGGACGCAAAGGCCGAGCTGGAGCCGGGTGCTCGCTGCACTGGCTTGGGTCTGGTCACCTCACATCCCGCAACGACGTCATGAACACCAAGCTGCACCGGGAGAATCAGGAGAGATGACATCTCTGCTTGTGCCTTACGAGGCGTTACGTGTCGGATTCCGATCTGACGGGTCCCTTTGCGCATTCTTTCTCCATGTGATTCATGTAAACAATGATAAACAAGAACCTCGCGAAGAAGAGGATCCCTGCTGCGTTGAAAGCTGCTGGGACCAAATACTCCCAAAAAGGGTCAGAGACTGAGTCCACTGGGAGTCATAGTCCACTGGCCTTCCCCACCTTCCTTTGCCGGCCGGATCCCAGGCAGTGATGCCACGTCTTCCGTCAACTCCTCTTGCAAATGTCAGGAGCATTCGGGAGTGACTAGGGGGCCGTCTAGGTATAGAACATCCCCCGGGCTCCCCAAATAAAGCTGTCGGGTCCTTGGCTGCGAAGGAGGCCAACCGCTCCCCACGCGCCTCGGGGGCGTAGTATTCCTTGGAGGCGAGGCTCTGCTCTCGGAGCTCTCTCGTAATCCCCTTCCGGGAAGAGTTTGCAGCAGCCTGCATAAAAGGCTCATACACCGCGGACAGGGCAGGCTGAACGTTCCAGACCTGGAACCTTGGCAGGCACGGCCGCTGCTGAGTCCGGACAAGGTCACTTGTTGCCACATGAGCTGGGCTTCAGTGTTTTGGCGCACTGTTGTCAGGCGTTCGGTGCCAGACTGCTTAGCCCTCAGTCAACCAAGCAAGCTCCACGAAGCGTAGCGAAAGTTGGAAACGCACACCCATTGACAAGTTGGGAGCATGCTTTCGAACGGCCGCGCGAAGCAAAGCTGTCCGAGGAGGTAAGACAAAGGTACTTTCTTTCCCGCTGTTCACGACACCGAGAAAAGTGTGAAGTGCACAGATGTGCATGAAACCGAGGTGGAGTGACAGAGGGTAAGTTCGACCACGGGTGCACGAGATCTAGTAGGTGGTGAGAGTTTGCAAATCAAACGGCACCCAGGCCCAACCCAGGGTCACCCCCGAATTTGTATGTTAGTTTCGTCCAGAATAGAGATTCCACACGTTTCCACAACAACCAGACCTCAGTCCCAGCAACCGGGCAACCACGGAACATTGTAACGTGAAGGATCATGCAAGGTACGTTTCCTTGGAGGGCTTCAGGCCCCCCCCCTCCTTCCCAAAGCCAGAAATTCAAGTTGCGATGCCCTCGAAGCAAAGGCACTCTTGAGTCACGTTGAACTGCACACACGTCTTGCCAGTCGTGCTCAGCTCCTTCAAGCATTGGGGGGCTCGATTGAATATTTCAATCAGGGGTTCTTACGCAGGTCTGGAACTACAGGAACACCTCTCTGGGCCGAAGTCTTGAAAGCCTGAGGCTTGGCCAATTGGGTCCGCAGATGTTTTCCGGGAGCTCTTCAGGACCTCCAGGATCTTTGGTCTTGTGCTCTGATGGTCACACAGCTTCTGCTTACTTTCTCATCGATCCCAGCTTCGGGCCCAGCTTCTGGGAATCTTTTTGTCGATTTGAGATGTTTGGATTCACTGAGCCCTGCTGGGCCTGGGCCCTTTCTGATTCTGAACTGTGAATTGGGTGTGTGAGTGTCTGCCGTCTGTTGAACGCGCATTGGCCTGAACCTGTCCATGCTGGGTTAGGCCGGTTAGGCACTTTGGTGGCTTTTGCAAGGTGTCTTTGTTGATGTTGGAGCTTAGCTGCCGGTGTTGCGATGACTGTCAAGAGTTGAAGTTGCAAGATCGGGGTGCGTCGCGGTCGTAAAGTTGATGATGGCGTGCCAGAATGTAAGCTTGCACAGATCATCATAGATCTAAAACTCCCCCGTGCAACTTTCTTAGCCTTCGGCCTTGCTAGCTACGATCGCATGTCTTCGCCCAGAACAACGGTGCGCTTCGCGGTGTTGTCCTCCTGTTAGTTACTTGAGCAACAAAAGCTGTGAAACCACGTTGTCTCCGTGAAACCTGTTCAGTTCAGCACGTGGAATAATGTTGGGTTTAAGATCACTTAGATTGTCTGATATTTTCTGCATCTGACCGCAAGCCGACGCACGGAGAACAAAAACCATGAAATTCAATCAAGAAAGCCAGAAACCACATTTGCTCTTCGATGGCAACAGGGCTTCTTCCTTCCATCTTCTTGCAATTTTTATCGCAATCTTTCCTTTTAAGCATATCGCGCTGGCCCCCGGGGTCCTGCAGGTAAAGATCCACCGTCCCATCGCCAAGATCCCATCCTTGGCAGCGCCCGGGGCAAGTACAGGGAAGATGAATTTCCAACTGCTGGAGAACTTCGGGCTAACCCCTGGCACTCTGACTATAGTCATCAATAGTCATCAAAGTATCGAGCCTTGTTGTTTATCTGATAAGAGACGCTTAGAACCTGGGTTGTCCGTTGCCTGCCGGCAGTCTGACACATCCCAAGCCGCCTAGGTGCTACGCCACATTGCAACCGTCTTCAGCATCTCAAAATTTCTCAACATGTTGCAACATCTGAACATCCGGACTCATCCGGCTCATCCCAAACGATCTTAGTAGCCTTTACAGCTAACCTTCTTGTGGGACTGTTGAAGCCTAGGGCTCGCTTCACCACCTTGTCATCCTTCAGGGACTGCAGAGATGACACCGAGGCAGCGTAGCCCGTGAAGAGGCCCACCTCGGCTCGGGATGGCGCACAAGGACCTCACCGAAGCCGTCAGCATCTGTTAGCTCCTGGATCGTCTGTGTCCAGGCCACACTGATGATGGACATTGCGCCGGCAGCTGGGGTGCACGAGGACCTCGGTTGACCTTGGACAGTGCTGAGACCTACGACGCCGAGAAGTCAGGAAGCTGGCCGAGGCTACTGAAACTGGGACCTACTTCGCTGCTTCTTGCAGCTTCTTGCCCTCACTGATGTTGAACGCTTCTTTGGGAGCTTGCCCCGGCTCAAGCCCGTTTCTGATCCCGACTCACTGGGTCTTGCGCAAACCGTCCTTAGGTTCTCCTAAGGTCCGCAGATTGCCCTTAGCATCCCGTAGCCTTCAGTGGCTTCCGTGCGAAAACACCCATGAGGGTCAAAATGATGGGTAGGCTGGTTCAAGGGCTAAGTGCTCGAAGTCATCCCAGATTCAGTCTCTACAAGGTGCGGCCAGGACGCTGCAAGCCTCAGGCCAAGAACGGCTTAGCAGCTTTTTGCTTTCACAACTTCAGACTGTCAAGCGGCATGAGCAGGGAGATGCAGGGTGAAGGTGCGAGAAAGGCAACTTAAGAGATTTGTTTTTGGCAGGGGCAGCTCCTCTAGGACGTCCTAGTTCAAAGCCATTGCCGGTTGAACCCAGGAACATGGCCGAACACAGAGGTTTCTGCCCTTTGAGAAGCTAAGGGCCTCAAGCCTTAGGTCTTTATCTCAATGTCAATGCAAAAAGAGTCGTCAGTCCCTTCCCACGCCTGCACGGCCGTGGAGTACCACTCCACCTGGAGGCCCGCATGTGGCAAACAGGGCCATCTGAACACAAACACAAGGACATGCCAGCCTCGACATCGTAGCATGGGATTGCCACCTGCAGCACCAGCATGCAATCACGTGAAAGCCTGCAAACCGCCCTTCGAGCCATAAAACCACAGCAGCTAGTCATGCAAGCCGGCACTAGCTGCACCAGCTCTGAAGCTCGCAGACAGGTCCCAACAATCGCATTCAAGTTCCTGAAATCTCAACCTCTTAGCGGCGCAGCTCTCCAGTCCTACCATCTCGGGCTACTTACTCAGCGATCTCAGCATCTAAGGCCCTAGGACCCCTGATTCCCCTTGCGTTCGATCTCCGTACCCGTGATCCCGCCGTGTCGGGCATGTTGTACCTGTCCGCACATGTCCGCACAGTGTTTCTGGAATAGGGTTCGTAAAGAACTGTGCAACAGCAAGTTTTGTGGCAAAACGGAAATGCTGACATTAGTATTCCGTGACCAACGACAGCCATCATCGACACATACAACACCTCCCAAACTTGTTTTTCTTGACTATTCGATGGCCTCGGAGCAGCTTTGGGATGGGAATAAGGGACAAGGTCCTAAATTTGTCCTTGCTTGGCACACTGGAGGCCGGTCACCTGCCCTGGATCCCAACTGGGAGATCTGCAAAAGGGCCCGAATCACCCCAACAGCGGGGAACTTGGCAGTCCCGCTTTGTCGGTAAGCAGTTGCAAACTCTTTCGCATTACCGCTTCCAAAAGGAGTCGACGTTGCATGTGGTACGGCGCTGCCGCGCCTTCTTCGCGTCTTGCAGATTTGTGTCTAAGAGGTTGACGGGCAAGACCATCACGTTGAACATGGGGAGGTCGGGTGCAAGTCGAACCAAATCGCCGTTGCGCATGGTGCGCTGGCATGCAAGATCTTGTCGCAATGTTGGTATGCGAGACCATCACGCCGAACATGCAGAGGTCGGACACCATCGACAACGTCACAGAACAATATTCTAAGGACAAGGAAGGCATGACTCGCTGAATCGTAATGAGCAACCGAAGGACTGCCACACGTTCTCGGAGAACAACAGTCAATGCTGCATGTGGCGGCACGTCTGCGAGTTGGCATGCGGATGCTATCAAGATTTTGGCCAAAACGAGGAAATTCCGCTCAACGTGGAGGCCTCGGACAACATCGCCAATGTGAAAGCCAAGGCCCGGACATGGAAAGCCTACAGACCTTCGTCAAGAACGTGACAGGTAAAGCATGACAAGCATCCCGCCTTACCAGCCAAGTTTGGCTTCTGCAGAAACCAGTCTGCAATGCGACTCTATTTTGGGTTTAGCAGCATCCAGAAGGAGCCAGCGCATCACTTGATTCTGCACGCAGCGTGCGCATGGACACCAAGTCGTTGGCCAGCAGGACTCTGATGTGGGGCCGTGTACCATGGATTTGGTCTTGGTATCTTTGGAAAGGTTCGGTGCGGCACAGCGCGACATTTTCCGCTTCAGAACTGTGGAAAGTCTTCTTACTAGTGACACAAGACGATGTGCGCAAACGTGCACGAGCTCAACATCTCAGACTCTCAGACCACGTGAACTTCACACACCAATGCCCACTCGGTCTGTTGACCGTACAACATGCAAGAAGAGTGTGTTGCCATGCTATGCTTGAGATTTGAAATCCCTTCCCACCTCAAAGAAGCGGACACCAGGGCTACGCCACTGCCTCGGGTTTCCAAGGGTAGAAACATGCAAAAGCCGCCAGACCACCCAGGCCTTGAACACATGCCTCTTTTGTTTCCGATCTGCGCTTGGGTCTCAAAAAGGGGTCCCGGAGCTTCAGGGCCGAGGTGGGCAAACCGTGACAAACCATGGCAAACACGCTTTGGGCGGAATGTGCGCGCACGCTTCAGTTTGTCAATGGAGCTCGAGAAGGACAGGCCTTTCCGCATGCTTGGGATTAAACCCTCAACATCCTGAACCCGCGGCAATGATCTTGGCAGACGCTTTGTGGGCCAGAAGGCAGCTTAATAAGGCACAAAAGCGTGGTCTCCATGCGTGTCGTAGTTATGGACATGCTTGCCTTGGCCCTGCCGACATTAATCAAGAGTTTCGGGGATTCTCAAAGAGGCTCTTCTTCGTACCCCTGCGAGTCTTGTTGGGGGTCCATGTGTGGGACCATTGCTGGACCTGCCCTGCGATTACAACCTGTAATCAGGATCCAAGCTTTGCAGCCGCGTACATGCAACAACAGAGACTCCATCCTAGCGCTTCGATGCTCTTCTTCGCCTCGCTTTTAAGGCGATTTGGGTGACGACCTGTCCCAAATCAACCAGGAACGCCTGCAAGTTTGCAGGGTGCCTGAAGCTGACACCGCGATCTCGTTGGCACCAGTTGCCACCGCAGGTGTGAAGCTTTGGAGCACATCCATGTTCCTCGCAGCGGGTCAAACACATGGCATTTTTTCATGGCAATCGCAGCAAGGCCATGCCGTTGTGCATCACAAGGACCCTGTCACAGTGTCACATTCAGGCGAACAAGACAAAGGGCAAAAGTGCTCAAGTTGCTGATGGGAGTTGTTGGTTGCAAAGACCCCGGAGAACCATTAAGAGACGTATTGAGACTCCCTCGATTCCATTCGTCCCTGGGAGTTGAGGAAGTCGAGGGCTTTTCGCCGTTTGGTGGCCCGGGCAGAGATCTGGCCAAGAGGCGCGGTATTGATCTGCAAAGTCTCCTGGAAGCTGCCGCCATTGCCCACCTTCAAACAGCTGAGCTTTTTTTAATGCCGGGATAACCCAGTATTTGCAGCCAATTCTCTGCATGAACCTGCGCCTGCAAGAAAGTTGGACATAGTTCCCCACATGCCGAATCCTTACTTTAGCGGCGTTGTGGAACATGTTGCGCCTGAACGCTCAGATCCACGTTCTGCCCTGCTGCCGTGGCGTAGCTTCCCAAGGCATTCAAGGCGACAACTGTATCCTGCAGCCAGCGCATGTTGAGATGAGCCATCATGCATATCTAGCTTCTGGAGCCATCATAGAAACTCTAGGAGCACCCAGAATACTCCAAGAATAGAGCCAACTGATCCGAAACGAGCATGAGTCGCGGCTACAAGCACCTGCGCTTCAAACCCCCCGAACTAAACATAGTGAAGCCGTGAAGCCTGCGTGGAGACGAATCCGCCCGTGTCGCTGCGCCTCGCGTTCTGGGATGGTGCATTATGTTTGGTTTAATTCCGGGTTGCGTTCGTCTATTGCGTTCTTAATCTGTGGGTTCTTCGCTGGCCTCTGAGAGATTGACGCCTCTTTAATTATGGCTCTGTCTCTTGTGCCTCAGGGCAGGTCGGCTTCAAGCATCAAGGACATTGTGGTATGTAACGCACATCAACGCTTCTATCTCCAGTTCAGCGTTCTGTTAGAAATATCCTGAAGTTCGACATGCAACGACGCCGGGAAGAAAACGCAAGTATGCCCGCGGCCCCATGCACCCCGACTTCCAGCAGAAACAGCGTCAGCCTCTCCAGAAGCCAGCGGACAGCTTGAAATGCCTGACTGAGCTGTGGTCATTCAGAAACAATCCCTGTATCCGACGTCTAGGACAAGGCCGTCACTACCGTAGCCCCACTTACGCGTGCCAAGCGTCACTCTTTGTCTTGTATGGAAGATTAATTTTTCAGAGCCAACAGATCTTGCAACAGTTGCGTTACATCAGGTCAGCCTAAGCTCGCTACATTTGTGGTGAGCTCGAGGTTTCTGGTGGCTTTCGGGATCTCCGGAGTCAAAGCAGCTTGCTTTTTCATGGTGGTCCAGGCGGACCCAGGGAGATGATATAGAAATACTCAGAACAGCAGCTTGGACAAGAGAATGAGCGCTCTGGAGTCTTTTTGTGTGGTGCGTTGTGGCACGTTGTGGCACGGTGTGGTACCGTGCGGTTGCTCGGTTGGACTCGGTTGGGCCTCCGTGAGGCGCCCCGCGGACGTGAGGGCAAGGATGCCGTAGCCCGTCATCCTCGGCACCCGCTACCGCTTCAAGCCTGTTGACTCTTGACAGCGCCCGGCTTGTTGAGGCTTCAAGGGACAGTCAAAACTTGAAAAACACTGCTAGAAACCCCCCCCCCCCGCCCCCCCGAAAACAGTTGTTCTCGCAAGCTGCTCCACATCCTTGGCAGCCGATCTGCCTGGACAACGACATGGACTTGGGGGTTGCACGACCGATGTATCGGAATGTTCCATGTAGAATGACCTTTGGGCATCAGGTGGTCTACGGCTGCGCCAACAGAAGAGAGGATCTGCATGATCACGCAGGCGCGTGGCCCTCAAATGCGCTCCCAGGGTGGTTGTAGCCCTCGCGCTTTGTAGGTGCCGGGACTTGCGTCGGTCTTTGACAGCGCCATTGACTGTCGGGCCTTCGCTGGCAGAAGTCCAAAACCTCTTGCCGTCGGCCGTGCTGGAGATTGCCAAGACCTGCACTGACTGCTCAAGCATGGTGGGTTGGCATGTTCCCTCTTATATTGACCGTCCTTGATAGGGATTACAGTACCCCCTATTATACTCCCGATCAAGGATTATTTTTAGTATAAGGGGGAACATCCCAAAATGGTGGGTGTTATGCTAAGGAACTCTGACTCTACTTGTAGGCGGGCATCGGTTCGAAATCTATCACACAAGCGCAAGACTGACAGCTGCGAACTGCGCCATTTTCAGCACATGACACACTTTCTGCTTTTGTGTCGCCAAGGCCTCCGATGCGATCTTATCAGAGGTCCACTGTCCTGCAGATTGCTTCGATTTGGCAGGCACACACACAGACACACAGACACACAGACACACAGACACACAGACACACAGACACACAGACACACAGACACACAGACACACATAGAGAGAGAGACAGACAGAACAGCAAGGTTTCTTCGGACCCGACTTTCCCACCGGCTTCCCCAAGGAATCTTCTGGCAATGCTCCTGCCAAACCCAACGCTTGTGCACGAAGGAGCACCTGCAAGAACATTACCAGCAGACCCTCTCGGGAGCTATCCCACACCTGGGGAAAGTTTCCCCCTCCGACTTTCATGCGGGCGGGGGGGCGGGGATGGGGGCGGGGAGGAGGTGGTCATGGGGGGGATCAATGGCCTCTGGTTGCTTCTCTTGTGCCGTCCTACGTACGCCCATGCATGTGAAGAGAAGTCCGCTGTGGGGCTGAAGGGCCCAGGGAGCTCCCCGACATGAAAAGCAAAAAAGGGACTTCTTTCTACACAGACGAGGACCTTCCCGTACCTCTCTGCCGAAGTCAACTCTCCCGAACATGAAAAGGGAACCGCTCCCTGCTTGGAACCCTAGAGGGCAACAGCAATTCTGGCACTCACAACTCTGCTTCAGCTTGGCCACTGTGTAGTCAGAGGGACCGGAAGCAGAAGACAAGTACCTGGTCTTGCAGGGGTGATACCTGCCCTGCTAACATACTTCACGAACTGCATGGCACCCCATGGGTATAGTCGTTATCCATGGCTTTTTCTGTAGTCAGACCTCGTTTGGACCCTTGCTGTTTGCGTCCAGCTGCGCCGCAGCAGAAGTGAGCGCATTCGCAAGGCCGGGCGCGGAGAGGTTCGGAACCTCCACGGAAGCCTGGCCAGGACATCTTGCTAGGTTGTGGTTGCTTTGGCTTGGCCATCCGTCTATAGGAATGTTAACAAACTGCTGTCCATGAGCGGTGAACCCGACGCAGCCGATGTGTTTAGGAGACAGCTTCACCAGCCCTTCTTTATGCCCCAGAGCGGCACAATCCGGGAAAACCCCCCCCCCAGACCCAGCCGACCCTGGAAAGCGCAGACGTGACGAAGGCCGACAGGGCAAGCGTGGGGCTGCCACTGGTGCCTCCCATCATCTCCTGCAACTTTCGAAGCGCAGGCTGTTCGAATCCGATGTTGGCTCCTTGCCCTCCGCATCCCTACTTGGAACTTGAAATTGCCTGTGAAGCGGCAAAGCTGTCCCAAGCATGCAAGACTGCAAGACCCAGGAAAATTGTCGATCAATGTCGGAGTTTTCTCATGGGCTCTTGAAGGACCGACGGCTCCTGGTGGATCACGGTGCCCACGCTGCGAAATGAGCCGTCGGCCTGCAGCAGGACTCAGGAAATGTCAGGAAATTCAGGATGCACAACTCGGGCAGTATGCTACCTTCCCATGGTACTGTCATGCCTTTCATTCGCCAACGCAAGTCTGGCCCGTACGGCACCTGCTGCAGGCCGATGAGGAAAGAGGCAGCCTGTGCCAAGATGCCTGGCACACCACGGCGCAGCGGATTCTTGTCACACATAAACCCCGCATTCGAAGACGTCGAGCATGTTCGCCACATGTCTACTATCTACGACTCGGCCTGATTGGAGGCATCTGCTGGTTGTTCAAAAGCATTTTTTAATTCGTTGCTGGATCGGAAACGGTCTCAAAAAGATCTGCAATAACCACGGCTCTGCCACTGGTGTCCACCGCCACAAGACCAGTGCCATGAACCTGAGAAGCAACTCTGCCCTCACAACGGCGAGGGAAGTGTCTCAAAGCTTTCAAGGTCCCGAACTCAGGGCAATGGCTGCAGTATGGGTTTTCTGGTTGGGTTGGGGACCGCTTGGGACATGGGCCTCGGCGAAGACCCGCAAGACGAAGGCTGTAAGCCAGGTAGAGCCAGACTCGTCGCTCCTGGCAAGGTCCCCCAGTCCCCTCCTAGAATATCCGCCTTGAAATTTCCAGCGCAGCCCCGCGTCGAAATCGAGGGTGTGTAGTGCAAGAAACCTGGGCACCCGGCTTCCCAAAAGCCGAGAAGGATCCGTCGTCATGTCGATAGGTCAGCTGGCGCCCGTATCCTGGTGGCATCTTCCGTGTTTTCACGCGCCACAGGCCGCTACAGCGCCGCTACCTGTACAGCTGCTCCACTGCATGGTTCAGAACTGGTTCAACCCGGGGCCTACCACCATGTTGTTGACCACTCGCTGGCGCAGATCTGGGGTCCTAAGAGTGACAGATCTGCTTTGAGATTCCAGCGCTTGGGGGAGGCGGATTAGCTGTGTAGAGCCTTTGTTGTCGAGCAGGGACACATCTCACATCTCGAATTAGTCTCTGAAGGCTTAGGGCTTAGGGTATAATGACGGTTTGCCGCAGGGTTTTGGGTTTTGGGTTTATGGGTGGGATGGGGGCCGGGGCTAACATGGCAGGGCGGGGGTGACTGACACGCGACGCGGAACCATACATTCATTCAGCCTGAGCCAATCTCTGCCTGCCAGGTTGACACAGGCTACGCCATCTTGCTGGCTGCAACCGAACATAGGACTTTGAGCTCTCCACATAAAAACAAGACTGGATGTGGAGGTGGCCTTGGTGATGATGGTCTTATCATACTCTGCTCAAGCATTACCAGCATCTGACTATTTTACGGATCTCTAAGGTGGCTTAAGGGCCATATTAGGAGTTTATTAAGGGAACCCCATATGAGGAGTTTTAGGAGTTTATTAAGGGAACCCCCATATTAGGAGTTTATTAAGGGAACCCCCATATTAGGAGTTTAGTAAGGGAACCCTTTAAATGTTGATTCTGAGCGGGGCCAGGCGGCAGCTTCGCTGTGGCCAACAGGTACTTGGCCACGTAAACGTTGGGCGCCAGCGTGATCATGTTCTGCTCGCCGCATCCTCGCAGTCTGTTTAAGGTAAGCTTTTATATATATAAATATACTCTATATACATACTCTCTATATCTATATATACTCTCTGTATATATATATATATGCATATATATATATATATATATATGCATATATATATATATATATGCTCTGCTTAAGCCTTGGGCTTGGGCCCGCCTGTCGGAATCTGCAAGAGTCGCTCCAATCCAGAAATGGTTGGGCCCAACAGGTCGCCAACGGCACTGACCTGAGATCTTGAGCGAACATCCACCAAAGAGGCCCAAGGTGTCAGCGAGGGAAAGCCCGAACGTTCTATTCGGCCTTATGCGGCCTGAATCAACTTGCCCCACATCCAAGCTATCCGGCCTGCAGTCGCGCGGAGCCTTCTACGGCCTCCGCTGGCAGTGACAGCGCCAGCACAGCCTCTGCTGAGGCAGAACCTGCAGATAAGGACAGTGAGAGCAGTTGAGTTGGGACCAGGACTTTCCGGTTTAGTTCTGTGACTGCTACGAAAGCAGAGTTGAGGTTCTGAGCCTCTGCGCACCATCTTCGGGCGCTGGGCTTGGGAAGAGTCTAACAGAGTCTAACACACACGTTCAAGGGGGTTGGGGTCCGAAGATCATTCGGATTGCGAAAGATGCGGGAATGGAGCTAATGCTGCTACGGACACAATCTCAACAGAATTCGATTAGCAAGTTTTCTTTGAAAACGATGTCAGGCCCTTTAGAGTGTTTCAAGCTCAACACCAAAGGTCCCACAGCTGCAAATGCAAGTGATGATACGAATTGCTGTGCTACTCAAAGATACCAAGCGTTAGACACAACCGAGCAGCTCGTGAGATCGATCACCACGCTCTTGGTCTCGCGTTGGGGGACACCCTGCAGGATGACGGTTGAAAGCGTGCTCGCTTCGGAAAATGCAAGCGACAACTGTGTTGACACATTTGATCAGGATACCCAACTCGAAAGCCTCGAAAGCGCTGGATCAAAAAACGGAAGAGGCAGGCAGACCCCAGGAAGAAGAGTGAAGGGACTCAGTAGGGGGGGGACGGGAATCTGAGGGGAATCTCATATTAACCTTTCCTGGCAAACCTCGCCCAGTCCTCTGGCTTCACGAGGAGTGGCTTCCTCAGGGCATCGCTGAATGCTCCGCTGCTGGCGGAAGCCTGACGAGTCGGCGAGTCGAAGGGAAGCAACTTAAGCAACTCTTTGCCACATCATGCTAGAAGAGGCAAGAGACAAGAGAGAGATTTACAAGGGAGAACTGCAGAATCCACGATCAACGTCCGCTCATTCTGGCCTCGAGCAGGAAAGAGCCCAAGGCCTGCAAATTCAACTGCCACAGAAAGCATGACATCTGAACATGCGTTGGATGAAGAAGAGTTCAGAGTGCTCCCGATGAGATCTCGTCGGGAATGTTGGGGCTTTGGGGAGCTGGAGTCAATTCGTGATCGTTGCCCCAGCCTTCGGCCGCAACCGCAGCGCGTGACCTTGTGCTTGGGAAGGTCGTGAAGCATGGACTGCGCAACCTCCTACGGAAGTCCTTAATTCTCTTAATTCTGAGGAAACAACTATGAAAAACTGTTAGGCCCCCTTCGAGAGCAACGAAGGGAACCCAAGCAGCTCAGACAGCCTCCATCCTGTCTTAGAGCTTCCAAACCAACGACCTTCTGAACCTACTGCTGCATGGAAACCGAAGCGACAGAATATGCCCGTCAGCCCGATAACAAAACACTCCACATGCGACCAGATCCTTCGCACTCGTCAAATTGAGCCCCCGCTTTGCCACTTCCCGAAAGGTCGCCAAGCGGCGCGTGGCGCCTCCTTCTGGCACGGAAAGCTGAATGGATGCCTGAGGTGTTCCGAACTTGGATGCAGATGTCAACTGTGACTTGGAAACTTGGAAGGGTTTGCTGCAATCTGCCGTTGAGAACGTCAAAGAGCAGAGCTCTCCAAGTGCACCTCCCGAAATTTCACTCCACTCAACCCCGTGTTGTTTCTTCGGGACGGCTCAAAACCTTGCTGGGGTCGGCTGCCTCGCCGCTGACCAGCTCCACTTCGGGGGGAAGAGTCACCTTGGAGACAAGTACGGGCGGTGCAGCTTCCAGAAAGTCGCAACTTGGCTATGCCAACCCAATCGCCTCTCTCCGACATGAAAACTTGTTATGGTCGGGTGATGCAAGGGATTTCTTCATGTCTCTTTCTTCCTCACTCGGGCAGGAGGGGCCGGGTGGACACCCAGCGAGGAATGGGCGAGGAGAACGGTTGACACTGAGAGTGGGGAATAACCAGCACGGCAACCAAGGCAGGACAAAAGGAAAGACAGAACGGAAGAAAGAAAGGACAAGAAAGAGAGAGAGATAGAGATAGAGAGAGAGAGATAGAGATAGAGATAGAGATAGAGATAGAGATAGAGATAGAGATAGAGATGGAGATGGAGATGGAGATAGAGATAGAAATAGAGATAGAGATGGAGATGGAGATAGAGATAGAGATAGAGATAGAGACAGAGGGGGGAGGGGGAGGGGGAGGGGGGAGGGGGGAGGGGGGGAGGGGGGAGGGGGAGGGGGAGGAAGGGGGGGAGGGGGGAGGGGGGAGAGGGGAGGGGGGAGAGGGGAGGGCAGGGGAGAGTGCCCACCGCCGGAGGCCCAGCCCCAGAGATCCCTGGACCGATCGTGCTTTGCATTGTATATCGCACAGACGGCCGAACCTGAATCTCCCTCCCTGGCCTGGAGTTGCGCATCCAGGGTGCCACTGCCTTCGGCATAGTTGAACACCGCCAGAACGAGCTCCACATCCTCGCCTGTCGAGAGCTCAAGATCAAGATGGCCGTATTCCAACAGCACCCGGAGGCTGAAGGAGCCCCTCCACGGAGCAGCAGCCGTGAGCCCCTTCTCTGCACCACTTCGCACCTCGAACGGAGGCGTAGGGCAGCCGCATCTCGACGAAGAAAGGCTTGAAGACGCGGAGAGGCACCCTACAGGGATCCCTAGTGCCCGACTGTGCTAGGCGTGGTGTCTGCCGGCACATGGTGGCAGCGGGCACCTTATCCCCTTCACCTCTTTAATTGCAGCCTTTGCATATCGTTGCGCATTCCGAATGTGTCTGATGTCTGTGCATCAGAAGGCTTGAGGATGAACTTCGGAAACCATACTCAGAGGCACTGCCAAGATGCTCGCTGCGAACGGCCGAAATCCCGTCCGGCGAGGTGGCGAAGGCCTTCCGAGGAAGAAGGAGAAGGAGAGAATTGTGCAAAGAAGTTGTGCTGCGCACCCCTGGAGGTGGAAACTACCCATCGAAACCCTGAGTGGCCGAGAGTATAGCTCTCACGCTGCTGCTGTTCGAGTGCATCCTTGTTCCACAGAAGATTCGACATTTCAATAGGAGTGTCTCGGAGGCTTACGCTCTGCGTGGCACTTGCAAGCGGCACAGCAGAAGTAAGCTTCATCTTCGAGAACTCTGACGAGCCGTTTGGACTTCGGGGTCTAGCACGGGGACTGCAAGCCCTCATCCTGAATCCCTCGCGCCTCAAGGCTCCATGTTGTGATGGTGTCCGGAGCAGTCACCGGCAGCGTAGCGCTGGCGCCCTTTTGTGTGGCTGGGGCCCACGTCTTGAGGTGTTCTTGTGGGTCTCATGACATCTGAGGATCATGAAAAGCAAAGAGAACGGAACCCCGCTCCGCCCTTAGCGGCCTAAACCTCCTCAAAAGCTTCACGCGGGTTCATTCCCTCATCACAGCGCGTGGTTGTGGCCCACACACAACAAATTCCCCCCCCCCCCGCCCCCGGCCCCTCGGCCGCCCAATCTGACCCATGCTATGAAACTCTATGACTCTATGAGCGCAAAAGACCGCCTTTCTTCTGTCAATTTGAGCCAAGCCACGTTGGCACCTGGCACATGGCAGGAGGACTCAGGTAGTGCGATGCAAGGATGCTTCCCATCATCTTGAGTATCATAGATTCGCACATCCTCCCAAGCGAGCCTCCAGCAAGCGCGACGTCCGTCCAAATCCTTGTGGGATGCACAGCGATGTGCATGTGAGAGTGACTCTTCTTCTGCAGGTGATGGCAGAGACGGATTGGCCACATGCGCACGCGTGCACGCAAGCTCGTGCACACACGCACGTGCACACCCGCGTGCCGTCACACCCGCACACCCGTGCACCCGCACCGCTGTGCACCTGAACAGGCGCACCTGGCCCCGCAGCTGATGTAACAGCAACAAGTCTACAAGTATCGACAGCAGTCAAGATTTTGGCATGTCCACAAATCTCATTCGTGCAAAACGGCATGTTCTCATTCCTTTGCAATTTGTTATGACCTTGCGCGGCCGTTCTAAATCTTCCGGGGGCAAAGGGTCGCCTCCACTCTCAAATATTCTCGGGAATAAACGACAGAAAGTCGGTCAGGCATGATGCTGTCTGCTGGCTTAGTGTCTTCGCAATCATGTCCAGGGTACTAGAATTGTGCCTGGTTCCGACAGCCAACTTCTCAACCACTTCTCAACCACCTAACCACATGACCGACTCCTGGACCCGCCACTATCTCTGAGTTTTGCTCTGCGCTCATCTTTCACCTCGCTTCAAAATCCCTCGCCAACGTCTGCCAAGGCTCCAGGTCTCCGGGAAGAATGTCCGGACAGCAGTGGTGCTGCCTGCAAGGTGGGCAGAGGATGGAAGAGGTGCATGATTTTCATGATTTTCTCTTCTTTGCTCTTTGGGAGATTGGTGGTCCAAGCGCGGTCGGGTAGGAGAAATACTCCTGTCTCAGCGACGGCAGGACATGGCGGCACATGACCTGCACCCGCCGCGGCCCCTCCCCTGGCCCAGAGCAAAGTCCGCAAGAAATGCGAGCCTTCAGCTGCCTTGTTGGTGTCGGCTGGAGGGGCCTCGGCGTGAGAATGGGAGAAAGCTTGCAAGAGAGAAGAGCGAGAGTGCAACATTTGAGTTTACCACAACTTGGAGCTTGGACTTGGGAAATCTGCAGCACGGTTCCACAATTCTACGACAAGCTGTAGCAAAACCTTGAAGAAGCTCATAGAGTGTCAAAGAAATGCTGAGCGAGGGTCCGCTCCACCTCCCCCTGCGGATTCGGCGCGCTCCATGTCCATGACCATGTCATCTGAGGCATTTTCGCTGATTGGAACGTCGCCCAAGTTCCAAGGTGCCGTCCAGCTAGCGGAGCTTCACAATATGCCGAGTGACAAGTGCGATCCAATGAAGAAGGGAAAACTCCACTTGACTCTAGACTCGAGGCTCCAATAGAAGACTTTAGATCAGAAACACCTCCCACACCCAACCAAATACAGCAGACTCAGCAGACAAGGTTCGCAAAGAAATGCAAGTTTAGGCATTAGATCATTGGATTCGCCGAGGCCTGAAACATAGTAGAGTGGTTCCAGGATGCGCCAAGCAGTGACAGAGCAAGGATGCTCAAATTCTATCTTCGGGGTGGCGTAGCGCCTCACGGCTTTTCACGGTTTCAGAAGTTTTGCTTTCCACGCTTTGGGAGCTTGCAGGCCTACTGAAGATATTTTTTGAACACGTCACCTTTATCACGAGCACCTTTTGGCCATCCAGCCGACTCTGACATAAAGCCCCAGCAAGCCGGCCTACTGCACCTGCTGCCATCATGACAACCATTCCGTCATCATTGCCTTCAGGGCATGCTTTCTCTGTGGAACTTCATCCTGGCATGCTGCCCTCAGTGTCTAGGTGTGTTGGACAGACCTTGTAAAGGTGAATCCAACAAAAACCGGTGACAAAGAACCTGCCAATTTCCCCAGGCCTGCGCAGAAGTCACCTGGCCAGCCACGGGACTCAGATCTTGAGATGTCTCGAGTACGCAGCTCTTCGAACTCTGCCGAGGTGCCGTTGTAGAGCGGCCGAGGACAGCTGATGCCCAGCGACTGGCAGGCGGTGGGACGTAGGAAAAGCTTGACGCACTGAATGAAGTGCTGGTTCGCTTGAAGCTTCCTGACTTAAACTTAGGAACGCCAGATCGTTGTTGCGCCTGCCGAAATGCAAGACTGGAGATGTGGTGACATATTCAACAGTTTGTCGTCAGTCCGGCAGTCCACCTCTCCGTAGATCTGGTCGTCGCTGCCCGGCTCTGTCTGCGTGTCTGTCACAACCTGTCAAAGGGGCAAAGCATGAACACGTGCACACCCAAGCAATGTTGCCAACCATTGCCAACAGAATGCATTGAAGAACAGCATCGTTTCGCAGCGCCTGCACCTGTTTTGGCAATTCGGCCACCACCTCATGCTCCAGAAATATGGGTGTGATGGGAAGCGCCCAGCACAGCAACAACTGCACATCGACCCGAACATGAAATCATCGTGCTGTTGACTGACGCTGCACAAGAGACATAATCCGCCGAGGCCTCGGGCCGAAGGTGTCTAGGTTGTCAGAACAATGAACAGGCACCCCCCCTTCAAATCCTCCCCCCAAGCCCAAAGCCCAAACCACACGTCGGCCAACTTTTTTGCCTGGAATCTGAAAACGGGGGGTTTGCCGGAATCAGGGGAGGTTGGGCTCACGCTGTAGGGACGCCCCCCCCACCCCCCACCCCCACCCTGTTCTTTGACATGGGTATGTTTTGGGTATGTTTTGTAGGCAAGAGTGGGAGCAGACGGCCGCCTCCCCAAACTCCTCTTCGCATAGCGTTAAAATTAACCCCCCTTAGCAGGTTCCGCCGCGACAGAGCACACAGCATTACGAAGATCCTCTTCTTCCCTGGGCAAAACTGCAGGGCCAAACACCAATGAGTCACGAGAAAGTTCACACCAGCAGCCACGTGCCAAGCCCCAGCCCCCAGCCCTTGCCAGGAACGAACTGAGGACTGAGGTCATGGCCATCAAGTCCTCGCCATGAAGACCTCACCACAGACCACACGTCATACGCAGAGTCAGGCCATGGAAGCGTCAAGGGGGTTCGACGCGCTGACAGTGACTATGGGAAAGCATATCTCCCACATGTCGAGCAGTTCAGAGGCTTCCGGCAGCTAGGCCAAGCGCAATAGGAAGCCACGGCTTTGTGAATGTCTGTCTTGTTCATGCACTGCATCTGGAACGACCTCTTTTTGCTTTATTTGCCATCGTCCTTGACCAAGCCTTCTCTTCCTCTCTTGATGAGGTGACAGCTGACCCCGTTGAACCCCTCTGAGACTGCGGCCACAATGCCTCCAAGGCCTGACTGACATTGACCGGGCTCTGGACTTAAGGGGGCATCTTTCAAGGGGTTCCAGTCCTGTCGAACCGCCTCTATGCCCTAAGATGGGCCAGCATCGGTGCCCCCCCCCCCCCCCCTGTGGTTCATGGTCTGTGGTTCATGGGCTTATGGTTTAGGTTTAGGGGTTTAGGGGATACGCTGTGGAGTCAGGATTTTCACTCTGGTCCGTTGGTTCACTGCGGGTTTAGAGTTTGATTAGGGTTCAAGCTTTGGGGCAATGGTAGGTTGACGGTTTCCCCTCTCCACCCTGTGGTTCCTGCTGAGTTTACGGTTCAGGGGTCAGGGTTGAAGCGGCTAAGGTTTCGGGTTTGCCCTTCTCCCTCCTGTCGTTCATTGGTGGGTTTAGGTTTTAGGGCTTAGGTTCAGGGTTTGGGGTTTAGGCTGAGGTTTCTCTGTCACCCCCCCGTGGTCCGTGGTGTTTTTAGGGTTAACAGGCAGGGTTTGGGGGGGGATACCATTTGGGGGGAGGGGGGGTCGATTACGCGGAACGTGGGCGCATAAATGTGTGATCCGGGGGGGTCCGAAAAGGTCCGGTACACAATTCGGCCTTGCTCTGATCCGGAGGAGTAGACGTTCCCACGCGTACAGGCACTAGGCAAGCGAGATCAACTGAGAGTGAACTCGCCTGCCCGTCACCGGCGTTGCTTCAGCCCCGTCCGCCGCCCGGTCCAAAGCGGCCAGGAGGGAAGGCCTCGGCAGCATAAAGCGCATGAGCAGGCTTAAACAAAACATGGCACGAAGGGCGTGAAGAGTTCATGAAACATCACCCCGGTAAATGTAAGGGCCTCACAGGGCCTATGGGTTCAACCAAGGGCTGAGGCTGAGCCTGCTGAGTTCCTTTCCCTTCTTGCTCCTGTGCAGACCGCCCGAGGTCCGAAAGGTGTAAGATGGTGCAAGATGGTGTAAGATGATGGTGTAAGATGCACTCAGCAAACACAGTTAAGTTTCAACTCCATGCGGAATAAAGGTTGCGAAATGAAAGCTGCCAAAGATGCAGATTACTAAGTACATACCGTGATAGTCCCAGGACTTCATGTCTTGGTCTTGAGCTTGCCGATAGCTGCGCGCGCCCCAAGAAGCTCTGCCGATCGGTCCAGAGACCTCAGCGGAGTTGCATAGCTAAGCAAGCATGTTGCTCTGAGCTTGCGCAGAATGAGGTGAAACGGTCGCAGTCTTAGACGCCCCTTTGTCAGGCATGGACATGAGGCCTCTTCTGCCCCCAACTCAGATTCCCATTCGCGCAAAACCATGCAACTGTCGCAACTCCGGACGTGTCACCCCGTCTCAAGGTCAGATTACAACCCAACAAGCCAAAAGCCAAACAACCACATGGCATCACGAGGCTGAAAAAGATCACCGACTTGGCCTCCGGACGCGATGAAGGCATGGACAGCCTTGGCTGCTTTTCGGGATCGCCCTGAACTTTTGTGAACTCCGGCGGACTCCCAAGAGCCGAAGAGAGAAATGGTGCGGCAGCATGCCGACGGCCTTCTGATGTACAGCCTGCCAAGTGGCTCGAGGGGCCGAGCCCGAGGCCAAGCTCTTCGCCTGGCAGATTCGCAGGAGTTGCTGTCCACGGGAGCAAGCTGAGAACCCAGAAGCAGCCCCTCTGCAAATGCTTTCACTCGGCGTTTTGCACACTTGGCCTCCAGCTGCACCTGGAGCTCCGTGCCGGGCTTTGCCTGAGAAGGGCTAGGATCGCGGGGAAGGATATGGCCTCATCTTTGGAAGCTCTCCCTGATGGCCTCCGCGGTGGAGAAGCTCGCTGTGAGGTTGTAGGGGAGCTGAAGGCTCCTGGCCAAGATGTCCCAGCTCAAGCAAAACTTCTGGGATTTGTTTCGGGTGGGGGGGTGGGGAGGCGTACCTGGGCAGCCCCTTCCATGGAGGACATGCAAACACCTTTCCTTTGGCAAGGGCTGCCGCCCTTTCTTTTCTTCAGGGGCCCTCTTCCAGCGGAGCCTCTGTCTTCGTGTATGCTGCCAGGCCTTCTTTCAAGGTCCCCTGATTCATAGTCTGGCCCATGGCTTCGATATGCGATTTCGGATCTGCGCAAGAAACTGGTTCATGCCATGAAGCCCTCCAAACCTTCTAGAGACCCCTGAGCGAATTTCTGAGTACCCATTGGGGGCTTTGAAGGTTTCCAGGAGGTATCGGTTCAGCCCCAATGAAGAGCAGGGACAGGACTGCCCGAGGCAGTGACTTTTGCTTAGGGCATGCCGGGTATGCCTTGCTGATCATTGCTGTCTGTCCTTCTTCAGGACGTGCATGCAGAACAGCAAATACCGCATTCTTTCGTGTGCTTGGGATGCAGAGGAACATGATTCCCTATCCAGGCCCGGCGCCGCCCGCAGTCTCCCGCCAAGGAACCAGCAACTGCTCGAAGCTAGACATGAGACTTAAATTCAGTGAATACGCGCGCATTTTTCGCACGAAGCAACCGAAAGCATCATTCGAACCTTGAGGCCTTGAGCCTCTTCACCAACTTTGCTATCACATCCCCTCTGTGTGACTACCGTAGTGGCAAAGCGGATGCGCCTCAAACCCTGCAACAACCCCCACCGCTAATAACAAAACCCTAGCAGCCAGCCTCCATCGATCATGAAGCTATGGATATTTGCTAGGTGTTCCTCAGCTGTTAGATCGGTTCAAGCTCTATGAACCCACCTCTCCTCGAAACAGTTGAACTTGCCGCCATTGCGCGACCTGCTGAAGACAGATCAGGATGGGTTAGCTCGAGGCCAACCTGCAATCGGAAGCACGCCCTGTACTGGTCGTAAGCACACCCCGAACTATACTAAATATGCCAATCCCTTCTTGACAGCCCTGGCGCACCAGAGCTGGTCCTCGCGACGACGGCAAAGCGAAGTTCTCCCGATCTAGGTGAACAAAACATTGGGTGCTTGGGATGTTTGGTGCTCGCTCGGACGTTGAAGTAGCAGGCCAGCAGCAGCAGGAACAGAAGTGCCATGAAGGGTGGGCTGGGTAGAAGCAAGGCTGACCCATACCATTGACTTCCCGGGGACGTGAAGCAGCGATTCTGACCCTGATGGTGAAACTCGCACCTCTTGGTTCAACTCAAAGGCGCAGTGGGACGGCTCAGGCTGGGGCAAGGTGGTTGGCAGCACCATCTGCAGAGAAGCCTTGCCGAGGTGTGCTACACACTTCGGGGGCTTTGCATCAGATGTTCTAGGTTTGAGGGTTCCGGGTCAGGACCACTAGGTCCTGCAAATAGAACAGCATGGCAAGGCTGGCCCAGGACAGCCCGCCAATTCTGATTGGTACTAGAGGTGTTGGACCGTTTTGCTCTGGGATTTATAGATTCAGGTGATGGGTGGAGCAGGGGTAGCAGCGCCTTGAAGTGAGTTCCGGAAGCAGTGAAGCTTGGCTGGGCAACACCGCTGGCAACGAAGCTTCCAGCCTGAACATCACGGTCTGCTGCAACTAGTATAGCTGCCACCCCGCTCAATTCTGTGTAGATGCGCGTTCTCGTGCCTGAAACCCATGCAAACTGGCCAGAAACCCTCACTATCCCATGCCACGTGGATTTTCCGTGGTCTTCGAATCTTGAACCCGGTCGCAAACTCCAACGACACAGCCTTGGTTTCCTTTGCCATGCTTTGCGGAGGATCGGCAATGCTGTGCGAGGCATCTCGGAAGGTGAGTGCCCGCTCCGTTCGACCAGGAGCCGCAAACCTCAATACCAACCTTTGACCCACTCGCCTGCGTCACGAAGTACCTCGTGATGCTTCAGATTTCCGACTAGCCGTAAAACCCTAGGCCCTGAACCCTAACTGCAATTCGAAATGACATGCGGGACATCTGGGTTTGCTTCCGCATCCGAAGCCACTGAAGCAATCTGAAACTTCAAGCTGTTTGCCCGCGGCGCACTCCACGTTGCTCTGGAGATCGCTTGGTGGCCGGCTGCTGAGCAGCTGTGCTGTCCACGCGTTGCCGTCCTGCACTGCAGAAGCACTAGGCATCCAGGGACGCGACTACTCAAAGTAACTCGTCTAACAACCTTCCGCACTCTTGCTGCCCTGCTGCATCATGACTTGAGAGGGTGAGAAAGGGTTTTGGGGTTTAGGGTTTAGTGGAACAGGGTTTCAGGTTTTCACGGCGAGGGGTGTCGGTTCGGCTTAGGGTGTTTTGGGCGTGAGATGGAAGTCGAGTCTGTTGCGTCTGCTGCCAATTTGTCAGAAATAGCTATTGTCACATCTCTCGCCCTCTTGAGCAAGAGCACCTTGCCAGCCGGAATTCTGATGTCTCCCAAGAGGGCATGGATCCATAAACTAGAATCACGCTTCGCAACCTTGAGCGTGGCTCTCACTCTTTAGTTGTTCGTCCGCAACACTGCTGCCCCCACCACCGGGGAAAACATTCCGCACCTCACCACTGTTCCATCATCCAGGAATGCCGCAAAGGCTGCGTTAGAAGCTTGGATATGTTGCACGTTCTTCAGATGATGTTGCACAGCACTGCTGTCACACGCATCTGCGCCCCAGGTCACCACAGACCCATCACCCAGGAGTGCAGCGAAAGCATAAGAGGAAGCCTGGATGCAATGAACGTCCTTCAGCTGATTTTGCACTGCACTGCTGTCACCACCACAGGCAACATGGCCCCATGTCACTACAGATCCGTCGCGAAGAAGCGCAGCAAAAGCATGGAGGAAGCCTGGATGCAATGAACGTCCTTCAGCTGATTTTGCACTGCACTGCTGTCACCACCACAGGCAACATGGCCCCATGTCACTACAGATCCGTCGCCAACAAGCGCAGCAAAAGCCATTTCATTAGCCTGCATGTGATGCACATTCTTTAGCTGGTCTTGCACCGCACTGCTGTCCCCACCACAGGCAGCAGCGCCCCAGGTCACCGCAGACCTATCACCCAGGAGTGCAGCAAAAGCATATGAGGAAGCTTGGATGCAACACACGTTCCTCAGCTGGTCTTGCACAGCACTGCTGTCGCCACCACTGTTGGTATCGCCCCATGCCACCACAGATCCATCACCAAGTAGTGCAGCAAAAGCCATGCGACTAGCCTGGATGTGATTGACATTCCGTAGCTGGTCTTGCACCACACTGCTATCCCCACCACGGGCAGCAATGCCGCTGGTCACCACAGATCCATCGCCAAGGAGTGCAGCAAAAGCATCGAAAGAAGCCTGCACGTTATTCAACGGCTTTTGCACGGCACTGCTGACCCCACCACAGGCAACTTTTCCCCAGCTCACCAATGATCCATCGCCCAGGAGTGCGGCAAAGGCTGTGTCAGAAGCTTGGATATGCTGCACGTGTTTCAGCTGCATTTGCACAGCACGGCTGTCACCACCACAGTCTGCATGGCCCCAGGTCACTACAGACCCATCACCCAGGAGTGCAGCAAAAGCAGCAGACGAAGCCTGGATGCAACGAACGTCCTTCAGCTGACCTTGCACTGCGCTGCTGTTACCACCACAGGCAGCATCGCCCCAGCTCACCACAGACCCGTCGCCAAGAAGTGCAGCAAAAGCCTTCACAGAAGCCTGGACGCGCTGCACGTTCTTCAGCTGGTATTGCACCACATTGCTGTCACCACCACAGTCAGCATCGCCCCAGGTCACCACAGACCCATCACCCAGGAGTGCAGCAAAAGCATATGAAGAAGCCTGGATGCAACACACGTTCCTCAGCTGGTCTTGCACAGCACTGCTGTCGCCACCATGAAAAGCAGTGCCCCAAGTCACCACAGATCCATCGCCTTGGAGTGCAGCAAAAGCATCGCAAGTAGCCTGAACGCGTTTGACATTCCTTAGCTGGTCTTGCACCGCTCTGCTGTCACCACCGAAGACAGCATTGCCCCATGTCACCACAGATCCGTCGGCCCGGAGTGCAGCAAAAGCATCGTCACAAGCTTGTATGTGATTTACGTTCTTCAGCAAGTTTTGCACGGCACTGCTGTCACCACCACAGGCAGCATCGCCCCAGGTCACCACAGATCCGTCGCCAAGAAGCGCAGCAAAAGCCATGCGACTAGCCTGGATGCAACGGACGTCCTTCAGCTGACCTTGCACTGCGCTGCTGTCACCACCATTGTCAGCATCGCCCCATGTCACCACCGATCCATCGCCAAGAAGTGCAGCAAAAGCATTGAAAGAAGCCTGTATGTGATGCACGTTCTTCAGCTGGTCTTGCACAGCACTGCTGTCTCCACCACAGTCAGCATCGCCCCAGGTCACAACAGACCCATCACCGAGAAGTGCAGCAAAAGCTGCGACAGAAGCTTGGATATGGAGGACGTCCTTCAACCGGTCTTGCACGGCACGGCTGTCACCACAATCATAGCCCCAAGTAGTCACAGACCCATCACCCAGGATGGCAGCGAATGCGGGGAGGGCGGGCAAACTCTCCAAGTACCACTCTTCATCAGGTGCGCACAACTCACATTTCTTGGAAGCAGCGACTTGAGGAAGTCTCATGTGAAGGGTCAAGATATCGCCATTCTGCAATCTTGCTCGTTTGACTGTTGCTCCTGCAGGTACTTCATTGCCAACAGAATCCAGCAGGCGTCCTTTGCCAGCCTTGCCGGCCGCCAGAGCATTGTGAGCGCGTTGGTTCAATGTCTCAACAGAAGCATCCTCCGGCGTCTCGAGAGAAACGCTCTTGCCACTCAACAGATGCACATCAACCGAGATTGGCATGGCGGCGTCGCAAATAAAATGGCTTTGTCCCACACGCGCAAACTTTGCGCCCCAGACACCTACCCTAACCGTTCCTAAACCCCTGTAGGCCCTAAACATGCCTAAACACTTTGAACCCTGAAACTTGCACCCTTGCCCCCGGGAAACCCATCATTTGGTCACCCTGTCTGAGCCCTGCGGGTTTCAGAAATACAACAGATCTCGATTCTGTGGCACACCCCTGTGGCAGTCAAAATATCAGGACTCAAGCTACTGGGTCCAGCGGGGTTCGAACGGAAGAATCAAGAGAAAGCGCTCAATTAAATCCGCGGACTCCGCCAGCTCTCCCCATCATGAGCAAAGAGCACCCCAGGGAAGCATAGGGCCCACAAACAAAAACATCGCGCCATCGCGCCTCGCAACCTTGAACGCGCCTTTCTCAGAACTGCGGCCGACCGGTTAAGTGACATGTTGAAAAAGGTGCTGGGCGTTAGAACGTTGCTTGCTTACGTTGCTTAGTCACCGATGCTCAAGAAAGTTTCATGGAAGCTTGTGGGAAGTGCGACGTCTTCAAGTTTGCACCTGAGCACCCACTTCTGAGGGCGCTGTGCCACGAATAACGGGCGAGCCACTGAAGGCTCAAAATCTCCAAGGCCTTACAAGCCCCTAGCGGCCCCTAACGGCCCCCTTCAAACCCCAAAGTGTCCAAGTGGGCATCCCCCCCCGTACTCACGGCCTCCACAGGCGCACTCAAAGCCAAGTAGGAGCCGTCCGGTGACCAGGCACGGCCGGCGCAGCCCGAGGCCGACTGAACACGCTTGGGGGGATGTTTTGGATCGGCGGGTGTTGGCCAAGGCTGCGCGGTTTGGGCCACGGTTTCGGGTTGGCTTCATTTCTTGCTTGGTGAAGGAAGTCTCTGTGACGGTATGGCAAGGCACCTTCCCCTCCACACCAGTGTAAATGCGTTGCCAGTACCTGCTCAGCAGCGAGATTGTGGAACCTCACATGCAATGGCTGCAAGGCCAACAGGGCCAAGCTCAACGGGCAAATCCTAGCAGACAGAAGCAAACTGAGCGTCCCGCTCATCTCCTGGCTGCTTGCGCTCCACCTGCAACAGGTGTTTGGCGACTAACCATCGAAGAAAAGGATCATGAGGTTCTTTAGTGTAGCAGCTGCTTTAAATGGAACTCGGCCTACAAGATCCAAATCCGTGCGGCAGATGGAGCAAACTTGGAGTAAATTGGGTCCCATGCAAAGTGCTGTCCATTGCAACCAAGCTGCCCAGAAATGCAAGCCTGTCACGCAGCAGCCACAGGCCTGGCAACGCGTGCAGCAAAGGCTGTGCAACCTGCCTTTCAGGCCTCTGACCTCCTGAGAATTCTATGCCTCTCTCGGGTATGAAGCCTCTTCTTGAACATCTGTCAGTGGTAGCTGCATTGCTGTGATATCCCGTGTCCGTTGGAGCAACAGTCCGAAAACCTGCACACGAAACGCAAACCAAAGCACCTGCAACTATAGCTATTGACGACCCTTTTCACTGCTCCCTGAAGGTCCTTCTCATGCTCTTGCCAAGTGGTGCGCGTGGCTGCGGGGTTCTGGGCGAGCGGCTGCGGGTGAGTTTAGAGGATTAGACCCTGAAACACGAGAAGTCCGTGATGGGTTCGTGTCGGGTTGATGAATGTGCTTCATGTCCTTCCTTGTTGATCTGTTAGACTACGTCCACCATTCAGAGCTTTAGGCTTTTAAGGATTGGTTTGGCCCGTTTGGGAGGCACGGTGAGGGCTTGGCCGGCCCCCAAAGATGTGCACACGTTTTGAAAGCCAAATTGGGTTTCTACAGAGATCAATGCATTCAGCGGTTGTTGGGATCTGTAGGGCACTACAGAACATTCAAACTTTGAGGGGGCTTTAATGGCTTTCAGAAGTAAGCGCCGTAGAAGCTGTAGAAACCGTGGAATCTTAGCTTTTGAATTCGAATGCAAAGAATATACCAAGGCAAAACATAGACACCATAAAGTTCATGCAGACCGGGATTCTTGTTTGCCAGATCTGGCTCCATGCCGCCTGGTATGCAAAACATCGCGGCGCCTGCAACGAACTTAACATGCTGCCGGGGCCGGCGTTTCGAAGTAGTTGTTGGCAACGCTGGAAATTGCAGGCCCGACTCATATCCCGCACGCTCCTCGCACGAAGTGTGCAGACTTGTCATTGCCGCCCTAAACCCTACACCCTAAACCCTTAAACCCTAAACTTCTAAACCCTAAACCTTTAGGATTCTTTCAGGTGTTTGACTCCCAGCCTTGGTTCTGGAGCCCGTTTGACCGAAATTTGGCCTGTGCAGGTCTTCGGCCCTTCCGTGCGCGTCTCGACAAAGCCCATGGCTCGTGACAAAGTGGAGCAGAATCAAGTTGTGCTGTCCCGCGACGCTTTACACAAAGCCCCGTGACCTGAAAGAGCATCGCCCCATCGTGGAAACGAAACCCCCCGGCTTGGGTTGATCAGTTTGTACCAGGGCGGCGCCTGCTTTTTGCTTTTGCACGCAGGTGCAAGCTGCGCTCGCAACTGAACAACATCCGAGATTTCTGTCTGCTCCACCTTCTGCATCAGCAATGAGTGTTTGTCGAGACGTGAGGAGATTTCACGTGGGATTCGGGACCAGGACCACCTCCTTCCAGCACTGTAGCTGCAAAGCCCAAACGGCAAAGCTTCCCGCTTGATATACAATCACACAAAAACTAACATGCCCAAGCCATGAAGGCGCACAACCTCGATTGAAGCCGACCCACGGCTTCAAAGTTTAGAAGCGGGCGTCATCGAAGCCAAGGAAACGCAGCCATCGACATCATGGGAACCATCAAAGTGCGACTCAAAGGGTCTTCAGTGCCCCAAGCCACCACCAAGGTAAGTTCTGCAACTGACCCCGCGCCCATCCTACAGTGTGCGATGATACCGGTTGGACTCTGAATCAACTTTCGGAGCGTGGTAACTCGGAAGCTGGGACCCGGTCGCAGCATGCCGCATCATCTTGGATTTCTGGAACATCCACCTCCTGAATGCCGGAATCTGCAGAGACTGCAAGCTGCACAATTTCGTTGGCGAGACTTCAGGCAGTGAATTTAGAGCCACTTAACAGCTTAAGCAGCATTCAAAAACGCAGGTGCGCAAGTCCTGCCGCCCGTCTTTCCAGCTCGCGGCGGCCAGGTCGTGGTAGACCGTCTCGGGCCTCGTGGCTCGCCGTGGCCAGTAGTCGTGTAGACGGCTGAATGGTCTTACAGTTCAGTCTGGTTGAAGGCTTCGAGAACAGAAAGCGCATGAGGACTCATGAGGACTCTGCGCCTCGGCTTCACTGTAGATGCCTATTTGTTTTTACAGCCTTTGCTGAGAGTCGAGCTTGTATCCTACAGCCGGAACTCACATGTCACATGCAGCGATGGAGATCAAGCCGCTTGGAACGTTTGGAGCAATTATAACGCATGGAAACCGCAGCAAACGTGAGAAGGAGAGATATGGGTACATCAGGGCTCCCTGAAGGAGTACTTGGCGTCGCCATCAGGATGTGAGAGCAACTTGTTCGATTGCCGTGAGTTCGCGCTGAGGCCAGGAACCGGTGGCTGTACGACACTGTGCTCGCCTCCAAGCAAAAGGGAAAAGGAACTCGAAAATATCCAGGGTTCGCAGAGCTTCCGGGTTTAAGCGGGTCCCCGACCCCCCACTGCAAGATGCAACTTGTTGAAAGAAAACGTCTGAGGCGCTATCTGGGTCATTCATTAATGAATCTACTCCAAATCTGGCGCAAATGCCAAAGTCCTGTCAGACACCAGTGCCTCCTGCGCCAAACGTACGGAGAATCCACTCAGATCCTACGCGAAAGGCAAGGGGTCATGGATTCGCGGACTGGGGCTTCGCATGTGCTCATAGTCCGATTGAGCCCCATGCCACAGGCGACCACCACGTAGATTGGAGGCTCAAAAAGCTCTGACAAAATCCAATCGGACATTAAGCGCATAATGTGTGAAGGGATCCAGTACAGTGTAGTCCCTTGGGTCCTGTGCTGATGGAATCTGGCCACCAGGCTTCACGAGGCGGACTGACACCCTCATGGGCAGCCCCGGGCGAAAGACCTCTTGGATTTTGGAGCTTTTCGCGGACTTGGGAGGATCTCGGAGCCTGTTCTACCCTTGTTGTCAATTTCAGAAAGAGGGGTGTTGAACAGATACGCATCTGGTGGCACATGGCAGGCACCTTCGTCCCATCTGCCAAGGCGATGTCGGCCTGCAAGTCAGAGCCTTCATAGAGCACCTGCGCATGGCATGGCGATGGGAACTTCGCAGCCGATCATGGAAGGAGCTCACAGCAGTGCACTGCAGCTCACTGTAGCTTGCCCTAGTTCACCCCCCCAAGAGAAGGCAAGAAGCAAAGCTGAATTGCACGCGAGTAATAGGGTGAGAGAGTTCAGCTGAACTTCGTGGTTTTCCCCGTTTGTGTTTCCCCCCTCTCCCGGGCCCACCGGCAGCTGCGTCGCGGAGCTTTGCCTCTCCCCGGTGGCTCCATAGACCACCTGACTTACAAAAGGAAAGGCTGAAAAGAAAAGGAGAACCCAGACAAGGGGAGCAGGAGTTCTTCTCTTTTAGTTACAACAGATGTTTAGTCTTGGTTTTGGGCATAGCTGACCTCAACCACTCCTTTTGCAGAACAAGCCACGGATGCTTCCACTTGCAGTGTGCCGCCTCCTTGCGCGAACATACTGCACATTGCTGCTCTGCAGAATGAGACGGCGTGTTCAACAAACGCCTGACAAAAAAACGTGACATTCCGGATGGAGAGTTTTTTCTACAGCCGCAACAAAGCCCAAGCAAAAGGCTCTTCACTCTAATGGCTCTAATGGCTCTAATGCTGCTGGGGCGCGCAACTCGCTGCTTGGAAGCGTGAGTTCAAACGGCGTGGGCGCCGATGTCAGCCTTGCAACGTTGAAACTGATTCTCATCATCTGCGGGAGCACGCGCACAGGAGTTGACCACTCTATACCGTAACACCCTGCGACCCTGGTGCCGGAAGCCGAAACACTGAACTCACTGAACATCCTGAACCAATTGGTCCCAGAATCGCACACGAGTTTGTGAGGAACGGGTGGGGAAGAAGGAAGTTCTTCGATCTCAAAAAAAAATGTCCTTGAAAGCAACTGAATCACGTGAAGCCTTCAGCTTAGACTTTGTGATCAACTGCGTGGACTGGTGTCCCGTGCTCCCCGGCAGCTGAAGCCCGGCTAAGGACGCAAGTGCTCGGTGCTCCACACCTTGGATCTTAGTTAGTCACAAGGCGACTTGGGTTTATTTGGGAGTTCCATGGATTCCTTCTTGCCACGCTCCATCTAAGCTGCATGTCCATCAAACAATGCAGGCATCCTGTGGGGTTTCGGTTGCTACTGCAACTTGCGAGCTATGCGGTTGTAAACTAACTGATAACTCGAGAAAAATATTTACATTGCAGTCATTGCATCCTTTTCGAAACTTGCAACATCTTCAATCGCTGCACAGTACGTATATTTGATGCATTTCCTTGTGTTAAGGCCCAACATACAGGTTTCCTGTCACATGCAAGTAGACTTTGGACCCCACATAGTGTCGGGCTCGCGAAACTCTCATAAGCACGATGGTGTCGTCTGAGGCGCTAGGGTCGGGTGCCCGAAAGCATGTTGCCGAGGTACCTTGTTCATTCGAACTTGTGCTGTCCACTGCGTCAGCGACTCCTGAACGCATGACCTGCGGTCACAAAGTCTTGGCAAGTCGTCGCATTGCCAACAGGGTCATACTGGCCAGGCCTGTCTTCCCCCCCCCCCCCCCCCCCCCCCCCCGTGCCCTGGCAAGTTTGACTGGAACCTTCAGCCATCGAGGTCCCCGAGCCCACCTCCCACGGCGACACCGGTGCCCACAGCGTCACCGACGCGACGCCAGGAACAGGCTCCCCGAAGGTGAAGTTTGCGGAGACCTTGTGACAGCAAGCAGAGAGCATCTTGTGCATTTATGGATGGAGACGATTTCCCGAAATTGTCCGTGTGAACAGCAGAGGGCAGAAGGCTGATGCTGTCAGCAGAAGCAGGACAGCAACCCTCATGACCTAACGTCAGCCAAAAAATGATGCACGATGCCTTGCCAGTCACGGTCACTTCGCCGGCCGTGCTCCTGGAAGTTGACTCTAGTATCGGATGTTTGAGGCTTCAGGCTTAGTCCCTAGCACAACCTGCAACACCGTGTAACACAGTGGAGGAACACCGCGTAGCTCTTCTGACCGTGGGTAGTTCCGTAGAGCAACTGGCAGCAACCGCACAGCCGTCGTGCCTGCCATACGTCAGGTGGCTCTGGTCCAGCGCAACGCCCCTGCCCGTGGCTTGTCGGACATAGGAGCTATTTAGGAGATGTTAGAAAAAATTGTAGAAAGATTTGAGTTGAGGACCCCCAGAGGGAAAGAGAGAGAGAGAGACAGAGAGAGCCAGAGAGAGAGTTTTCTCATCTGAGTTCTACGTCTCTCGTCGAGCGGCACTTCGAAGCGAGGCAGCACATACTCCTCCACGCCGAAGTATGCCTGGCTTAAAGGCTTAGCCGCTACCCAACAAGGCATTGAGCGGCAACGAACGGCGCCATGATGTTTGTGCCCAAGGCTGTGAACGATTTGTAGCGCCTCCAGTGCAGACCCGCCGTGCAGACTTCGAACCCCCGCCCTGACTTAATCTCTCTCGGGGCACCTCGGTGGAGGCTCCTGGCGAGTTGCTGTAGCATCGGTGTTTCACGTGTTTGGAAGACTTTTGGGGTTTATCATGCTCTGGATGGATCCAAGCAAATGTGCCACGACACCCTACACCGGAGATAGGCCCTAACAACGTCCTTGCCCCAAGGCACCCCAAGGCACCCAGCGCGCAAGCGCACCTTTTTTCACTTCAAGCGAAGCAGCCGGTGAGCCATTGAGCGCCAATGCCCCCCGCGGCCGCTGCAGCAGTCACCGGCACGAAGCCGTGTTCCTGAGTTCCTGTCGCAAGGTGCATCCGGAAGCCGCTGCTGCCCATAAGTTCGGGTTGGCTTCTTGCCGCAGCCTGCCACAGCCCGAACCCACAAGCTCTAGAGACGGAGTTGTCGCCCCACATGCCACCCTCTGTGCTGGTTCATGTGGTTTCTATATCTGGTTCAGCTCATCAGCATCCAGAACCGAGCCAAGCTCAGGCATGCCTCGCGGAATGCCACTGCTCTCGTTGGTCCAAAACCAAACTCGCCACAACTTTCGCTCTGTCCGACCTTTGTAGCCCTCTCGGCCATGCAGCATACGGTAGTTGTCAATCAACAAGGCTTCCCCCTCATGCACAGTGAACCGATACGCCTGGGCAGCTTCTTGCTGGACGGCTGCGTCCACTGTCTTAAGCATGTCCTGCACCTTGTGCGCCTGATGTCCCTCAGGTTCAGACAGCGCCCACAAGCTTTGGTAGGGGCGCAAGTCAGTGCCAAGTCGCCCATTCTCATCCACCGTATCTGCTGCATCCTTGCACGCAAGGACTGAGGTTTGGCGGTGAAAGCGCAGCCGATGCATCGCATGCCGCTGTCTCTGTACGAGAGGGCCTCGGAACTCCTGGCCGTTCACGAAGCCCGGTGGAGATCGCTCCGTCTGGTCAACGGCCAGCGTCTGGGCCATCGCGGCCATCGCGCAGGTTTCGCTTTCGTCAGAGTCGTCTCTGTCGCCATCGCACAGCCGGCGAAGAACACGTTTCCCATCCACAACATAATTCTGGCCACCAGAATCACTTTGAGACTCGACCACGAAGGCAATGTAATCGGGCAGAAACTCGCCATAGATGTATCCGTCTGTGTGCGGCAGAAGCGGCTTGCCAACAAGATCAAAAGGACTCGAGGTCAGGTTCTGCCGGAGATGGGCATGTTCCAGGTGAATGCCTTGCACTTTCGGGATTTTCGATACCAGGCGTCCTGGAAAGGTGAGGGACGGCAGGGCCGCAGCCTTCGCTTCCCACGTGCCGTCTGCAACGCTTACGCCGCTTATGCCCGTGAGGATCACAGCGCCATCAGCTGCGAGCGCTGCGTGTATGGCAGCCGTCTCCTGGATGGCGATGCGCTTGGGACCCTCCTGCAGGCCTGTTGGGGGGTCTTGCGTGCAGCTTTCGTCAGCACACCCAAGCGCCTGCAGGAACAGCACGTACTTGCACACAAGCATGTGTTGGAACATGATTCAATCTTTGCGTGTGCCTGTGCAGGCTTGAGCATGACACGTGCCAGCAGGTTGTTCTTGCACATGGCAACTTTACACAGGCCAGAAACTAAGCCGAGTATAGCTGAAGCTAGCTGAAGCTTCCACTGCCGCCCCAAAATCTCCAAAGGAGTCGCAATTGAACTTGGAAACCTTCCTTGAGCACAGAGGTCTCAGCACGTCTCTTCCCATCGAGCCTGAGCCGCTGGTGGCGGCAAGCAGCGCCGCCCTGGCCACGTGGCGACCGAGCAGCGGCTCCTGAGAGAACATGCGGAGAAATAACGAGAAGAACTGCGAAAAAACAAACAGAGTTGGAAGGGAAAAGCTGGGGAAAAAAGAAACCAACAAAACAGAGAGAGAGAGAGAGAGAGCGAGGGAAGTCAGGGAGGTCAACCAATAGCGAAAACATTTGGATAAAAGAAAATGGTGGACAGGCGCGCAACAGACCAATACCCACACCACAAAGGCACCCTGCGTCCTTGGCGATGGGAAACTCGAAGTCCACTACACCAGCCTCGCTTGTCTCCTTTGCCACCTTGACTCACCGAAGCAGACTCTACCACAATCGAGCTCGAGCCACGCATTGCAGCCCATTGCTAAAGGGTGCTACACTCAGAATGAAAGATCCTGGTCAAGTCATTCTGCACTGGGTCATACTCTTGTGCTGATCATGACGGAACCATAAGCCCAACTCGCCTCCAGCAGCTTGAAGCCCTCGGGGCTCACAACCTTGTGGACTGGAGAACGGGTTCCATGGACACGAAAAGCACCAAAACATCTCCCTCGATCGCAGCGCGGGGCGCTCAGCTGTGCTCAGCTGGTGCTCAGCTGGTGCTCAGCTGGTGCTCAGGCCCAAAGTTCGTGTTTTGCCCTTTTCTTTTGCCTGACCAGCCCAACTCAACCGAACCGAACTCCAAAGCCTCCAGCCGCTCTGCCGTGCCTCGAAGCTGATGTTCCGCTGGAGCGGTTGCATGGCCTCGTTGCTGGGGATCCATGGTGATCTATATCCCTTCCGTATCCTGCTTACCACTTCCATGAAGCAACTCACCTTTTCCGAAGGAGGGTCTGGCTGCTACTTCTCGGTTTCCGTGTCCGCGCGGCGCCCGTCCCCCCTTCTGTGGCTCTCATGGTGGCCCAAAACCCCGCTCCCAAGAGTGGCGCGGGGTTTGCCCGTGGGATTTGTTTGGGGGGGGGGGGGGATGAGTCTGGGTGCCCAGCGTTCTGTGGTCGAAAACGCTGTCAAAGCTATAATTATGAGGCAAAGCCCGGTAAAACCCTGGAGTCCAAGAGTCTAAACCGCTACCCAACAAAGATCGAGTCGAGTGGCTGTGCTGGCAGCCAGAGCTCTGAAGCGAGCGACCTGCCCTGGCCTCAGGTCCGGATTCAGACGCACGGCTTGGTGTTTGAGCGTAGCATCTGAACTGTGTGTCTGAAGGAATATCAGGATGACCTACCCAAAGCCCAGGCTGCACAAGTGACGGAGACACAAAGGCAGGGTCCTAGCGCAATGCAGCTTCGCATCGCATGTTGTAGCACCTAGCGTAGTAGATCTAGCCGAGTCCAGACCGATCATCTGTACTGCAGCACAGCAAGAAATAGAGCCTTCTTCCTACTGTAGTTGCAAACCCCAAAGCCCCTGCGCACAGAGGCTGTGAAGCTCTTGCACACAGCTCCCAGGCGCTGAAGACGAGACACTTGTACAGGGCTTTGTCTGCCTGCATCGGGTTTTTCGTGACTTCTGCAGGGCTTGGTTCAAGCTGGGCCCCCAGGATGCCGGCACGGTAAACTTTGAAAACTGACAGATATTGGCCATTGCAAGCCATACACCTCCGCTTGAATCGATGTGTAACACAGACGTGGAGAGCCTCCAGCAAAACAAGGCCGGCCGCAGAAGCAATCGTGACCTTCCCAGGACTCTGGCTGGGGCATATCAGCACTCGGGCTTGTCAGGGGGTGTAGTAGCAAGGACCATGAAACAACAATGAGCTTACAGGAATAGCTCGGCGCAACTCCTCAGGCCGGAGATTCAGAGAAGCCCCCGCTTCCATCGATTTCTCTTTCAAGTCTTGTCTTGCGCCGTGCCTCAGCACTCATCCCGGCTGGCTCCTGCAAAGGGAAGACAATGAGACCGAGCTATACTGCGCAAGAGACTTCGGCGAATTTTAGGGTCTACCAAAACCGGTGACCGGTGGCTCTTGCAGTTTGATCGGGGTAGAGCCACTACCAGACTACCAGTTGCGTGTTGACTCAGTTTGGACAACAGCCCGATTCTGGAAACATACTGTACGAAGAGTGGGCTGCACACTCACCAAGCAAGTGTTTCCACACTTCGATTTCACTGATTCCCTCTAAACCCTAAACCCTAGACCCTAAACCCGACACCCTAGACAATGAACCCTAAACCCTAAACCCGAAACACTAAACTCTCCTCCACCAAGTAGGATCCGGCGGCCAGGTCCGAGGGCAGCGTCAGAGAGTAGAGACCCTGAGAGGAGTTCACGACTGCCCTCCTTAAGGGAGTTACCCCTAAACCCCTAAACCCTGAACATGGGTGGTTGTCAAAATCATGGTCGCTTTTTGGATCCGCACCGAATATTTTTAGGGTACCCCATGATTTTGACAATCCCCATATGGTCCCTTAGTATGGGCCCTTAAGTGGGGGACCCCTTCTATACGCCGTATATGCCCTATACAACCCAAGGGCCCATACGTCAGAACCCTTAAAGGAGGTAAGGGACCATATTCAGGGCCCATGAAACTGTTAGAGCCTTTGCCTAGCCCATGCCTATGCGGTCGACCTGCGGATGACCTACGGAAAGGCTCGCGCTTGCCCGAAACCGTTCGTAACTTTTCAGAACTTGTCTTAAAGTCTTAAAGGAACGCGCATTCCAAAAAAAGAGAGCCCCGCCCCTCCTCCTTCCCCTCTCCCCCCCCCCCCCTCCCGCCCACCCCCCAACCCTCTTTCGAAGCTTGAAGCACCTTGTTTTCGAACTTCCAACCGATTCGAAGCGATTCAAACCACAACCGATCCCCGAAGCACCCTCTCCCGAAGAGTGTTCTCTCAGTCTCCCGTGTCCTGGTTTTGCGCATCCGGGCTCCCGGTCGCCAGCCTTTGCTGAGGCGAAGCGATTTTTTCAAAGGCTCTTGCCGCAGGCCTTGAGGAGTTTAGCAGGAAAGGCTCTACCCGAGTTCGGAAGGCTTTGGGATGCTGTGGATGGTTTAGTGGAGGGCTGGCCCCGATGAACAACAGCGTGTGGGCAGCAGCCGCAACAAGCATGAAACAAGGAAAACTCTTGCCCTGCAGCCAGTGCGCGTGGTGCTGCCAGATTTCAAGCGCAGCTCCGAGGGAGCCTCGCAGTTAACAAAGAACAATCAGGATACACGCGCAGCCATGATGCCAATGCGAACCTGCGGAATGCAATCGCAGATTGTCTTGGTCACAGTACTGCTGGCCCACAGAACTTCAGAACAGAAGATCAGATCATCCTCGCAACTGTGGACAGCCCTGTGAAACAGAAGTCAAGTGTGCTGCTGCCTGGCCACCATTCGTACTGGCAAAGCAAAAGAAAGTCTCACCTCCAGCATTCAGGTTTGCCACCCCGTCCTAGAAGCCTAGAATCTGCGATGACCCCAGGGTTCAAGCCAAACGATCGAGGGCTTGGTCAACGACCCAGCAAACTTCAAGCACAAGGGGCTTTATCTCCTCCAGATTTTTTCTCTCATGGTACCGGCAGCACTTCCTGACCTACTTTCAGAGCTGCTTAGCGCATCTTCGTGGATTTCTAAGTGTTGCGGCCAGCCTGCTGCCATCGTGGCAGGGCATACGACCTCGATTGAAGTGAGTTCCAAAATTGCCAAAATTGCCCGCCCCCCCCCCCCCCCAAAAAAACTATCCCTCTGAAGCACTCGTGGGTTCTCACCTGAACTCTGACAGACTCTGACAGGCTGCTAGGCGAGTCGCGCCTCTGGGTTTCAACACACCACTTTGCCAAGCCGCCAAAACATGCAAACATGGCCGACACGTTTCCCCTCATGACACTATGGAATATGATGGATTTATCGTAATTACGCAGGCAGGCCACTTTGGTGGCTCTAGACTGGGTGAGGGTGCAGCCTTGGACGAGTGACTATAGCGACTAACACCAAAACTGGTACTTTAGGCTTGTGCGTGTTCCTCTACTTATTTTCACAGAAAACTCCAGTCACTTTGGAACGGCTGCACTGCTGCAATAGTGCCGGGGACATCGGCAGGTCGCTTTTCGGATGGGGAACCCTGGTCCAACGGTCGAACGATACGGCATACACTTCAGCCCAGGAGCACGCAAAAATGCAAATTGCAAGAAGTCGGAAGATACAGATGGTTTTTGGTCAGGAGGCCATCACTAGGATAGTGTTTCTTCCTGCGCCGGGTGCACCACCTATTCTTGCAGTTGAGCAGGAAGGTGCTGGAAAAGAATACTGGACTGAAGACAGGACTGATAAGAATTGTGATGGGGGAGAAACAAGCTGAAACAAAGAACATAGATGCGAATGAACGCCGGTTCCTCGAGGGCCTCAGCATGAGGCCCTGATCTGACTCACTTCGCAAGACCATGTCCAGTGGTAGGTTGCTTAAAGATCGCCTCTACAGAAACTTGAGAACCAACAACCGTGCAACTGCAACAGAACCCCCCAAAAAATCTCTCAAAGCAAAGGCAGCGACGGCAAATGCAAGCACAGCTGAATCTCAAGTAGTTTACTTCGAACATCCCCACCTTAGGGATTTGGATTGGGCCCTCCAGGGAGTCTCTGGGGTTGGGCACTCCAGGGAGACTCTGGGGCTGGGCACTCCAGGAGTCTCCGAGAAAGTCTCTGAAGTTGGGCACTCCAGGGAGACTCTGGGGTTGTTGGGCACTCCAGGGACTCTCTGGGTTGGGCACTCCAGGGAGTCTCTAGGAGTAGACCGGGCGAGGAGAAGAGTTCCGGGCGTCCAAACTTCC